GAACCTCCAGGACTAGAACAAAAGTTCACATAAAGAACTAGACACAATGAAGAAAAGTTTAACCGAACTCCTGGAAATGGAAGAATCAATTCAGGGAACTATAAAATACAGTTGAAAGCCTCAAGAACAGGGTAGATCAAACAGAAGAAAGAATCTCAGAGACTGAAGATAACACCCTCCAATTAAATAAATCAGTCACAGAGATAGAGCAGAAAACAAGAGAAATGAGCAAAGCGCTACAATAGCTGTTACAATTATCCTGCTCAGACACATGGCTCCTAGAAGTGATTGGCTTTTACTCTGCAATAGTGATTCTGCTTTTCACTTTGGCATTAATCATTCTATCCTACATGTTCATCATCAGGACAATTTTGAGACTTCCTTCTGCTACTCAGAGGAAAAAGGCATTTTCTACATGCTCCTCTCACATGATTGTCATTTCCATTTCTTATGGAAGCTGCATATTCATGTATGCTAATCCCTCTGCAAAAGAAAAAGCATCCTTGATCAAAGGAGTAGCTATTCTCAATACTTCTGTTGCTCCCATGATGAATCCATTTATATACACCCTGCGAAACCAGCAAGTAAAGCAAGCCTTTAAGGACACCATCCAAAAGGTTATGTTTTTCTCTAGTAAATGAAAGCATGCTAAAAGAATAAAGTTTTTGTTAATGTTTTCTATTGTGCATACTCTCTCAAAAGTCTCTTTGCTTCAGTATAATTATATATGAGTGGTTTTTTTTCCATTTTCATATTAAAATGTTTTCCACATTGCAATCAATAAATTTGATAAAGTTGAATATTTTGTCATAGTTTTCTGAACATTAAAATGTTTTATTCACATGTATTTGGATGAAGTGAAAAATGGTTAATGATTATGATTTTGAATAAGAGTGGTTTGCTTTGGAAGAGACATAGGGCATTTAGCTTGATGGAGAGAGTGTCAGCTAGATACGGACTTTGGAACATTTCATTCTTACCAGTTGATAGAAATGTATAGAATGTTTTTAGGAAATTCGATTGTATTTTGCATTTCTGTGAAATCAAATAACCACAATCACTAGTGGGTGGGAAAAATGTAAATATCCACTTAAATATTTGAAAATGTCAGAAAAATCATATGTATTCAAATTATTATACTAATAATATTAATTATGGTAATAATGAGAAGCAATAATAGGAGAACAGAAAATGAAGATTTTCAGCAATGACTATATTGCAGATATATTCTAATAATATTCTATGTATTGTCTCATTTAATTTTGCCAACAACTTTATGAGGTATCAATAATTATTATCCTTTTTGAGTCAGAGGTATTTTTCTTGAGGTATATTAAATAACTCTAAAAATTAAAAGAAAAACATAGAGAAGAGAAATTGTAAAAAATATCGAGGAAAATACATGAAATTTTGATAAGCTGTTCAGAGTTTAGCTTTGTGAAGAACTAAAATTTAATCTGAGAGTCCATAAATACCTTTAGGGTATTTGGAAGAAGAGAAAAGAAATAACATCTCCTATCATAATATTCTACATACTGTACTTTTATTAGGCAAATCATAAGCAAAATTTATTGTATTAAACTGCTTAGTGAGTATTATTCACTCATTCATTTGTAATAATTTATTAATAGAAATTTATATTAAATACTAGCACTGTTAAAGGACCTTCTAATGTATTATTAACTCATTCCTATTATACTTATTAATAATTATCTTATGCCGGTGTTGAGGATGCAGTGATTAAAAATATGGTTCTTGCCTTAAATTTTTCTCAAATTCTATTGAGGAGAATAAATAATACCTAATTAAAATTTAATTTAATAAATCCAACAAATGGAATCTAAACAGCGTTTAAACCAGGTAATATTATCGTTGACAAAGGTATAGAATGTCAGTTGTCCTGCCTTTTCTCTTAGTAGCATAATGGTCAATTTCACAATAATTGCTAAATGTAGGGTTTTTTAGCCCTAAAAATCACACACGCATTGAATAAAATGTGATAGCTTTGGCTATCACTTTAATTTTCACTCTTACTTATACTCTTATGTCTTTCTTGATAATCTTGCATGTCATAAAAAAATCACATTATTTCTTAATTAAAAGAGTTACTAGAGATAAAGTTATGATGATCTTCAAAGAGACACAAAATTCTCCCCAGTATCACTTTCTGCCTCCAATCTGTATGATGAATCATGGATTGTTCTTCTACTCACTTTGATCCATATATTAATACCACTGAGACAGGGAACTGCCAGGCAATGCTTCAGTCATTTCTTTAGGCATTGCTTAACTGTGCAGGCATTGTCTGACTGAGCCAGGAAGTCTCTAAACGAAGTTTCCAGTTACCCTGATCAAAACAGCATGGTTATAGGACTAGTTCCAACTGGTTAGAACCAAGATGGCGGAGAAATCTACCACTTCTTGACCTTATAGCTTTATTTGTTTGTTTGTTTATTTATTTATTGAGACAAAGTCTTGCTCTCTTTCCTGGGTTAGAGTGGCATGGTGTCAGCCTGACAGCAACCTCAAACTCCTGGGCTCAAGCAATCCTCCTGCCTCAGCCTCCTGGGTAGCTGGGACTACAGGCACATACCACTGTGCCCAGCTAATTTTTTATATTTTTAGTCATTTGGCTAATTTATGTCTATTTATAGTAGAGATGGGGTCTCATTCTTGCTCAGGCTGGTCTCGAACTCCTGAGCTCAAGCAGTCCTCCTGCCTTGGCCTCC